TCTACAAATTTGAAACTTAGATAAGAAAAGGAAGCATTCTGTACGTATCATTTATTTGGCTCTTTTCTGATCATCATAGCAAGACTGATTTGCAGTCACTTTTTTGTCTTTGTGTTTGGTAACTGATGTTCAAAAATTAGACAAGCTATCTTCACAGTCAGAAATAGGCATGTTTGACTGAAGTTGCTGCTAAGCTCTCTGTTACCTGCCTCTGCTGCTTTTCTTAGTCCTTAATTATGTTCCTAGAGTATAGAGCATAGATCAGAGGAAGGACATTCCTTTCCCTTCAGCCTCTGAACCAAAACAAGGAACCTAACAACAAGGCCAAATCAGCACCTCCTTCAACTTTTCTTAATGCCAATATTGTTCTCACTTAGAACCAACATAAAGCCATCTTTGACTTTGTTCTGCCATACCTTCTTAGTTGCTAAAAGCCACTGATCCTTTCTTTATTCTATTGATTCACTTTTTCCTTTCTATTTCCAATATTCTACATCATTACTCATTTCTTAGACCATTTTGTACCTTATTGATTGTCTCCATGCAACTCATCTCTCATTCATCCTATCATAGTTACTGATCTTAATAAGACGGGAGAGGCAACGTAGCATAATGGTTGCTGTTCTAGTTTGTTTCTTCATTGCTGTGACAAAACAGTCTGTTCAATATCAACTTGGGGAGGAAAGGTTGTATTTGGTTTATGTCTTCAGGATCACAATTCATCAGGGAGTCCAAAGTAGGAAGTTAGGGCAGGAACCTGGAGGCAGGAGCTGAAACAAAGGTCATGGAGGAATGCTACTTACTGGCCTGCTCCCCTGGCCCATGCTCAGCCTGCTTTCTTAACAATACAGAACAACCTGACCAGCCGTGGCACCACCCATAGTGAACTAGACTCTCCCATATCACTCACAAATCAAAATCAAGAAAATACCCCAAAGACGTGGCTACAGGCCAGTCCAATGGACACAATTCTCCATTTGAGACTCCCTCTACCCAGGCATGTCAAGTTAGCAATTAAAGCTGTCCAGCACAGTTGCAGAGTCATGGTAAAAGCCTTTTCCTAGGATGTTTTTGAGAATTAAATCCTTTAAGCAGAAAAATTCCAGACAGAAAGTACTCCGTAAATATTATTGGCTTTATTTTTGCAACTATTCTTATTAAAATATACTTTTGCTTCTATGATTTCAGCTGAAGCTGATATTAAAAAGCAGAAAGAACCAAACTCATACTCTGAGCTTGTAGGCCAAGTATTGAAATACTTTTGAGACAGGATTAAAAAATATAAATGCACATATGTGTTATTAGTATCAAAGCAACAATTTATACCAGACTGATGGCACCTTGGGAAACTGATCCCCTAGAAGCTCTTTCCAAACTAATAAGGCAGATACATGGTGAATAAAAGCTGATCAGAGGTCCTCTGTTTCTTTTTCCAGCAACAGCAGTATGATTATTAATATTCTTTGTCAACTAGACTAAATTTACAATTACCAGAGGGTTTCAACTGAGAAGGGAGACCTACCCTGAATGCTGGAGACATCACCACTTTGGCTATGGTTCTGGACTAATTAAATGGGGGAAAGGGAGACATTCAGGTACACACAGCATTCCTCTATTTCTACTTCCTCACTGAATACAGTGTGACCAGCCACTTTCTGTTTCCATGACTACGCTTTCCCTGCCTTGATGAAGTGTATTCTCAAACTTTGTGCCAAAATGCACCTTTCTCCCTTAAGTCGCTTTTTTGTCTCTGGTATTTGATCATAGAAACAAGAAAAACAATATAGTATGCTATTCCATAAATAAATGATCATTTAAAACATCTAGAATGCTAGATATGGCCAGTTTTCACTAAGAGGAAATGAGAAATGTAGCATGGATAGGTCTGTAGATGGATGAAAACTGATGTCGAATAATACATATAGTATCGTACACATGTATGCATAAAGGCATCTTTGGAGACACAGACTTTGATATGCTTAGCTTCCAGTTTCATATGCTTTACATGAAATCTTTGCCCACCTAGAACCATCTGTTTGTTTTATTGCCAGGTGTAGTTCTCAAGTGTCTGTTATGAGTTTCAGGCTAACTTGTTAACTTTTGATAATGGGGGTATGTTTTGTACTTGTTCTGTGAGTAGTGAAGAAACGTGTGGACAGTTTTGTGCACTTTAAGCAAAATAGTCTAAAGTGATGACAGCTATGTAAACACAGTTTCAAGGCAATATTTCCAGCATTCATGCATTCAAATATATGCCTGTAAAAAGCATGAAAACATAAAGAATTCATAGAAGTTAAATTTTTACATTTGCAGGCTGGAGAGATGGCTCAGCGGCTTTTCTTGCCAAGGACCCAGGTTCAATTCCCACCACCCACATGGTGGCTAACTACTGTTCATAATTCCAGTTCCAGGGGAATCCTGATACCCTCTTTTGACCTCCGTGCTGGCATTGTATGTCACGGGTGCACTTACACACATGCACGCAGTGTACAAATACACATTAAAAAATGTTTATAAAAATTTCACATTTGGAGAGCCAGGTGCCTATTGTTAATAGGCAAATTATTCTCAAAGGAGACTCAGAAGACTGCCTTGCTTCTATATTATAGCAGGGATAGTTTTTACCCAATATTTTATTTGTTGCTTTTGAAGGTATATTAGTTACTTTTTTCAAAAACGTGGCAAAATACATGACAAAATTGATTTAAGGGAGGCAAGAGTTGTTTTGGCTTACAGTTACAAGTTCCAGTCCATCATGGAAGGGAAGGAATGACAGAGCACCTCAGTTCATGATAGTGGAAATATGTGTCAAGAACTGATCACAACCCAATAATTGAACAAACAAGAGTGGAACAGAAACCAGAGGCCCTGTTTAACCTTCTAAGGCCTGTACCCATTGACTCACTTCCACTAGTTCAGCACTACTTCTGCAAGGTCCATACCTTTGCAAAATAAAGCCACCAGCTAGAGACCAAGTGCTCAGATACTAATCATATGGGGTATACCAGGAGATTTAACAGAAACGTACTTTGTGGTTTAAACCTTTTGGGCCAGGTGTGGTGGCACATGTCTGTAATCTCAGCTTTCAGAATGCTGAGGCAGAAGAATCACCATAAAATGCCAATCTTGGATACACAGTGAGGCCACATTTAAAACAAAATGACTTTCATTGATGTTTTCAAATTAATTTCATATTAGTTCAGATATCTCAGTGCCTAGTCTGTGCTCAGCATTTGTGTTTTGAAAAATAGGCTTCACATGAAGAATGAAATATAATTAGCATGGTTAACCATTTCTTTCCATTTTGTGCATATATGTCCATGTGTGTCCAGACTCTATCCACCTCTTTCTCAGATTTCACTTGGTAAATAAAAACTAATTAAATTATTTTGGACTTATAGGAAATTAAAATCTAAAAAAATCATTTTAACAAGTAATTAAACCAAATAACAAGTAATTAAAACCAAAGTTGAATTGCTTGAGGAAAAAAAACATAAAATATTTGAAAATAATGTGTTTGAAAGTCTTTGTGATTTTAGAAATATTTAATTAGTTAGCATCAGCATCTGTAAAGAAGATGAAATTCTTTAGAGCATATTTAAACATTCAATATAAGTTATGAGTAGGAATCATGAGTTTTAAAATTATTAAATATAGCTGGGCGTGGTGACACATATGTTTAATCCCAGCACTTGGGAGACAGAGGCAGGCTGATTTCTAGGCCATCCTGGTCAAAATAGCAAGTTTCCAGCTACCTGAGGCTATAAGGAGACCCTGTCTCAAAAAACAAAAACAAAATAAAAAACACAAAACCAACAAACTCAAAATTGTTTTAAAAAAAATAGTCATGGTTAATCCTGTGAAAGACCACAGCAATAGACAATTCTTTACAAACGTCGTAGTTCTCATGTGAACCCAGAGTTTCAGTCCTCTCCCATGAACCTGGTGTTTTGGTCCCCTCCTGTGAACCTGGGTCCATGACCCCCTCCTGTGAGGTAGAGTGAACCATATTTTCACATTCCACTGGTTGTAGGCTGATGGTGGAGCCGAGTAGAGCATGAAGGACTTCCTGATGTTGGGAAGCAGTGTCAGTCTTCTCTGAGTGACTACATTCCCTAGAGACCTCTCCCCTGAGGTCCAAGGTTGTGCATGGCAAAGACTTTGGCTCTTATAATGTTGTCTCGGGGAAGGCCTCTGATATTTGCAGCTTCTTTTCTTGGGAGGATAGATTCTCTGGAAAGGGCCTCCCAAATCCGGTGACCCAGATGTGGTTCTCAATCTACACAGTCCTTGATGTTGTACCTCTACAGAAAGTACTTTAATAGCTAATCTGTTATAATCCTCAATTTTAAAATATGTAATTATATTTCTACAATACAAATTTGAATTCTCTATGTCTAACATAATTTTAAGTACTGTTTACTGACAAAACTCTGCTACCAAACTTCAACAATAATGTGAAATTTGTCACTGTTCCTGTAATGTGAGTTTGTCTTTCACACTCTTTCCAAATTTTCCAAACTGTACAAAGTTTTTCAGTGCAATCATGCTACTTCTTTCAAAAAGCAATGCTAATAAAATATTTTTAAGTTAAAAAAAAGTCATAATTTTTGGTCATCAATACATCTTTTATCTGTGGTCCAACTATTCAATGTCACGTGTATATATTGCCACAGTTCACCTCAGGCAAATTTTGGCAATTTGTATATTACTGATGACTAAATATTTTGGAATTATCATATAGCAACTGTTCAGCTTCAGTAGTATTTTATTAATGTTATAATAAAACTTCATTTTTAACAAAACTGACTAGATTCTGATTTTTAAAACTTTGCCCAAAATTCATTTGGAAAGTTTAAAAAAAAATAATATATTCTAAAACTCAGAGAGAATTTCCTTTATGTCTAAATTTGTGCTATTGTCCATGAATTTATCCTCATGATAGAGAGGAAATAACATATTTTAAATGCATGTACTCATAAAGGTTCCTTATCTTACAGATCAGCACAGTGAAAATGTTACGGCCTCGCCTCAATAGCATCCTTTTCAAGCTCACCTTTGAAGAACACATAAACAACATCAAACCAAGCATCATAGCAGTAACTCTTGCTTGTGAAGAACTGAAGAAAAGTGAAAGCTTTAACAGACTTTTAGAGTTAGTTCTTTTGGTTGGCAACTACATGAACTCTGGCTCAAGAAATGCCCAGTCTTTGGGTTTTAAGATCAACTTCCTTTGTAAGGTAAGATGACATTTTTATAAGTGTCAATTTATAACAGTAATCTTCTGGTATGTGAGCTGGTTTAATCTAAACAGCAATAATACATCACCCACAAAATCACATGCATTAAGAGTGAATTTGATGGTATGTAAAATGTATCTCAACTGAAGGAAATATATTTTAATCTTTTTGCAATGAAATACAAAAGACAATGAATTCTTTGGGGGTACACTGCTTACCTCTTTCAGATTAAATCTTACTGGAGATTATAGACCATACAAAATTTGTCTTCATAAAATAGACAGAACTTTTATTCCATTCTTTTTTATTTATTTTAGGTCCCTCCAAAAAGTATTTTAGGAGCTAAATGGTATGAGGAAAAGAACCAGAAATTTCTCTTTGAATATGCTTTTTTTATCCTACTCTATGAAAATAATGATCTTTATTGTGCAGGTAGTGCTGTGTTACTAAGCTCACGTCCTGCCACTAAGCTCTGATTATTGAGTGAATTGCCTAGAAACATTAAAAATGAAATAATAATAATCTTACTGTTTTTATTAGACAACATTCAAGTATTATTTTTTGAGAATTAATGATTAAGGAAAGGGTACAAAGAAACAGATGTCCCAAACTGTATATGGCTGCTAATAATATTGGTCAAATCACCTTATTTAAGGATACAATTTGTCTGCTACAGAAAAAAACTAAACAGATTCTGAGGTAAGGACCTTTAAGGAGGTTGGAGATAAAATAAATCAGAAAAGAAGTAATCTTTCTTTGACATCTCTCCATATTTTCTTTCTTTTTTTATATCTGAAAACAGTGCAGAATTTTGGTTATTTATAGAAGTATATTATAACAAGAATTTGAAATCTAGGACTGAACATGAACTTCGGTATTATTCATACATAAATATGCACAAGTTACATATCCATGAAGTAGCATTTTAATGTTTGTAAAACTATTTGATTGTGATAATTGTACCACACAGAAATATAAGAAACAACATATATAGATAATATATGAAATGGAATTTGAACTATCTTTTTACCCCTGATATTTCTTTGAGATACTTCTTTGAAAAACAACAAAATATTGACTAGATCATTTGCAAATGCCTGATTTTGTAAAAAACTAGGTTTTTTTTCCTGTTTCTTTGTTTAATCTCTTTTGCCTGAGTGTTTATAGGTGTCTGAGCACTGACCAAATGACACAGATTTCTCATTAAACTTGTTTTATTTTAATGGTTCTCAAAATTCTTTGATAGATTTTTGGTCAATTTGTTACTTTAGCTCAGTGCAAGGAAGAATGCCAGTCTCATCTCACTAACCATTGGATGTAGAGAATGGTGAGTGTCTGAGCTGTGCCCAATGCCATGATCAACCCCTACCAGCCAGCTCCTCCTCCAGGTTACTTCATGGCAGCTATCCCACAGACTCAGAACTGTGCTGCATAGTCTCCTCCTAGCCAAATTACTCAACTAAGACCAAGTCCTCCTTGGACTGCTCAGGGTGCCAGACCTCACTCATACAAAATGTGCCTGGTGCTATCTGCCCAGCTGCTCCTAGACCACCATTTAGCACTATGAGATCAGCTTCCTCACAGGTTCCATGATTCTTATCAACACAGTGCGTTGCTAACACATCAACACAGATGCTGGATCCACGTCCTACAGCAGCTGCTGCTGCACCTACTCATGCTGTCCCCAGTGTAAATACGCTGCGGAAGTCCCCAATCCCGAGCAGTATCTTAATAATGCACAGCCAGAAGTTACCATGCAACAGCCTGCTGTTCATGTACAAGGTGAAGAACCTTTAACTGCTTCTATATTGGCATTTGCCTTCTCTCAAGAGCAAAAGCAAATGTTGGGGAAACAGCTCTTTCCTCTTATGCGAGCCATGCACCCTACTCTTGCTGGTAAAATCCCTGGTATGCTGCTGGAGATTGATGACTCAGAATTATTTCACACACCTGAGTCTCCAGAGTCTCCCCGTTCGAAGGTTGATGGAGCTGTAGCCATGCTACAAGCCCACCAAGCTAAAGAGGCTGCCCAGAAAGCGGTTAACAGTGTCACTGATGTTCCAGCTGTTTACATTTATCAGGGACCATGAAAAGAAACTTGTGCTTCACCAAAGAAAAATATCTCAATATCGAAAAATTTAACCACCATGAAAAAAAATTGCAAAATATAAAATAAATTTAAAAAGGAAAGAAAACTCCACCTTATGTATTGAGCAAATGCTCTGTCAAGCAAACAGTGCTAGTCCTAGATTACTTGATTTAAAACAGCAAAAATACAAAAAAAATAGTAAAAAATAAAAACAAATTGATGTTTTATAGACCCTGGGAAAAGAATTTTCAGCAAAGTACAAATATGTAAAACATTCTTTTATTTAATTTTATAATTCTTTACAGTTGAATAACTTAGGACGTAGGTTCTATTTTAAGTATCAGAACTGGTAAATGAGTAAGGAAATTTAATTTGCATTAAAACATTCTTGCTTCAATAAAAATTCCTTAAATAGCAAAAAAAGGTAAAAGTGCTGGTTTTTAAAACTAATAACTTAAAACTACCACACACAAAATATGAACTACAAAACATTCTACTTTACTTCTGAAGGTTTTATAATGAATTGTTATCATTAACCAGTCTTTTACTATTAAACTTAAATAGCTAATTGTGACAGACAACTCTGAGACTATTCTTCTACCACTGATTATTTTTTCCCTCTTCTTGTGATGGTGGAGAACACATTACATCATTAGATAATACCAAGAAGAATAAGGCAAGACTTGTAATTAATTAGAATAAATCACAGTTAAATTTATAAGCTCAAACTATTTGTCCCTATTCATTGGATAATATACTATGTATCCCATCCTAATAAAATCATCTCTTACTAAGATGCTATTGGGTTAGTGTATGTTATATGTGTACAGGCTGTGAATCTATACTATTTTGGGTTGGTGATTTTTCAAATATACATTAAGAAAATATCATAAATTTATATTAAAATCTATTTCACATTTAATCCATGTGGAAATATGTTAAACAAACTAAACTTAATTTGAAGTAGCTTAATATCACCCTATTTAAATTAACTACATGAACTGATTACCTAGAAGCAAGAATGAGTAACACATTTATACACAGGAACAAAAGAGTATATTAATATCCAGAAGGATTTTATATTATGACTTATATTTTGGAGAGAGCTTTCTTCCTGTCATCTACCTGTCAAATAAAAGTTTTCCATGTAGTACTGATCTGACATCTATCACTAGAGGTATGCTCAAAGGATTCAGCACAAAGAATTTTGCCAACTTCAAATAAAATAAAAAATTGTCTTGTGGGAAATACTATCATGTAGTAATAGGTGTTCTAAAAGAGAAAGAAGTGAAGGCTTTATAATATCCCCCCACACACTTTTCAGTTGGATTTTTATCTTCTGGGAAATACTTAGGGAGAAATACATGTCATTAATAAAGAGAAATATCATACACATGCATAGTATTCCCATAATGTGTAGAAATAAAAGGATGTTCCTGGAATACAAAGGATTCTGAATAGTTGTAAATGTCTAAAATGACAGAAATTTACTGAAGTGCATAAAAATAGTTACCTTAGGTCTGTAATCTGTTCAAAATGGTATTAAATACTGCTGGTGTTTGATTAGCTAAAAATGCTGTTACATTTCACATATAAAAGACTGCTTAGATGATTTTTCTTAGGGATTTTTTTTCCTTAATTTGAAGAAGGAATTCCTCATGTAGAATACTGAGTATGCTTCAAAAACGATAACATTTCTTCACCTAAATTTTTTCTAACGATGAATCCCTTTATGATTTTAAAAGTGTAATCAACTACATTTCACACAAAACTTTAAAATACATTAAAATGTTCACCTGGTGGAAAAGGTGGCATAATGTAAGTAGTTAAACCATATCAAGGGTTTTTTATAGTATGTAATATAAAAATTTAGATGGTCATAATTGGCAATGATGATACTTTGGATGAAAAGGAACACAGATATGTTAAGCAGAATGTCAAATAAAGGGTATGATGGCTACTAGCACTACCTCCCATCACCACAAAATGCTTTGTAAATTTCAGTCATGAATTATCACTTTTGAGTACCAGACCAGTGTGCTGAAATTAATAAAAGCCATTTCAGTGAAGATGAGTTCCCACTGTTAGGTTTTCCTGAACTCTACGATTGAAACTCTAACCATTGTCCTGAAGACTCTGATTAAGATTCTAACCAACTGTAATGCTGCATTTCAGAAATATTTGTTAGTTTTGTTTTCAGTCTTATGATATCATGTTTAATCTGCATAAAACCAAAATATTTTAAAACACCAAGTACCCCCGTACACTAATCTTCATGGGTGTATCAGATAAGGATTTTTATTAGGTTGCAGCAGAAAGTAACTGCCTTATTCAAGAGGAAAAAAAAATGTAATTTGTTGGAAGGATATGAGATAGCTCAACCAGAAGCTGGAGAAAAGCTCAAGAAGGTGGTCATTAACAGAACAGCTTCTGTGTTCGCTTAGAAAACTCAGGCAGCATGAACTAATGGAAAGTCTTTTAAGGACATTCCTTTTTGGAATGTATTGTCTTTAACCTTTTTTTCTCTCTCTATCTCTTTTGCTTCATTCTGCTATATTTGATTCTGACTCTCAGTAAAAGTTGATTAACACTAGTGTGGATTTTAGAACCATACCTTGTTCAAGGGGACAGCATAGAACCTTGATCAACAGTGTTACCCAGACTATGTTTAACAGCACCTTGGTCATGACCTACTAAAGGATTATCATTATTAAATACAGGAATGTCATGATTAAGGGAAGATGAAGAGATGTCATAAATCACAAAGACAACATAGAATGCATTCTCTGCACATCTGAGTCTTTAAAAGAGTGCAGAAGAGGTCTGTCTCTGCTGTGTGGAGTCTGGGACTTCCTTCTCTCTAGGAATAGCAGTTTTATTTGGAGCTGTTTCCAGGCTTCTACCATTGCTA